AGAGAGAGAGAGAGAGAGAGAGAGAGAGAGAGAGAGAATCTCAAGCAGGCCCCACGCCCAGTGAGGAGCCCAATGTGGGGCTCGATCCCACAAACTGTGAGATCATGACCTGAGCCAAAATCAAGAGTCCCATGCTTAACCGACTGAGCCACCTAGGTGCCCCAGGTTTGAATTATTTTTAAACACGACAAAGGTAAACTGCTTAGGAACTAGAGAATGGTACAAAGAAAAAAATATATTTCCCTTGTATTCCATCATCCCAACATCACCACTGCTGACATTTTGGTCTATTGCCTTTCTGTCTTTTTCTAAGCTTATTTCTTTTTATATATTTTAACATTTAATGGATAGCCCATGGTATATACAATTTTGCATCCTGCTTCTTCCTATTTAAAAAATCCTTATAGTGCTTTAAGAAGAAATAAGCTGGACTTGTTGCACCTGATGTGGGAAAGTGAATTCTATTTGGAATTTTTTAAAAAATGTTTATTATTTTGTAAGAGAGAGAGCTTGCGCACAGGTGGGGCAGGGGCAGAGAGGGAGAGATAATCTTAAGCAGGCCCCACACTCAGCAAGGAGCCCCACTCAGGGCTCTATCCCATGAACCATGAGATCGTGACCTGAGTCAAAATCAAGAATCAGACACTTAACCTACTGAGCCACCCAGGCGCCCCTGTTTGGAATTATCTCAGAGCTCCGACAGTATCTTATCTTGCTCTGAGTCACCACAGCCAGTGTGAACCAAGAGTGTCCCTGTGTCCTCTAGTGCAAGCAGCTGTCCCCAGGAGAAGGTCTGAAACTTTTTGGCAGAGAATGGTGTGTGTGTTTAAGGGTGTTCATGTCCGGTTTTTAAAGAAAACTGAGAACAGGGACGCCTGGGCGCATCAGTCGGTTAAGCGTCCGAACTTCGGCTCAGGTCATGATCTCACAGTTCGTGAGTTCCAGCCCCGCATCGGGCTCTGTGCTGACAGCTCAGAGAGTGGAGCCTGCTTGGGATTCTGCGTGTGTGTGTCTCTCTCTGTGTCCCCCCGGCTCGCGCACACCCTCTCTTTCTCTCAAAAATAAACATAAAATTTTATGTTCTCGGGGTTATGTTCTCGGGTTTATGTTCCCGAGAACAATGTACATTTACCCTCACAATACATTTCCTACACCCCCCATAGAATTCAATAGCTGTTTTCCTTTCAAGAGAGAAAGAATCAGCACATTAACTGAGCACAAACAATGGTGAAATTTTAAAAGGATGAAGAGTGTGAAAATGACAAGCTTTTACACTTTTGAAGCAATGAGGACCGGAGTCTGGAGTTATACAGCCCCAGACTGCTAGCTAGGCTTTAAGAGATGCTCACCAAAAGTTTCATGTCTAGCTTTTTCGGTTGCTTCTTTTATCTTCTGGTCATGAACCTGAGCATCCCAGGCGTCTGTGTCTCCCTGGAAATGGAAAACAAAGGGAGTGGAGTTACAGCCAGATAATTTTAGTCGGTTGATAACAATCCTACTGATCTTTTTTTAAGCCTTGTTCCACTGTTAACTAGTTGTCTTAGGGACACATCAGTTCTTTTCATACCTTTTCAGCCTGTCCCCAGAGCCTCCTTCTCCCTTTCTCTTAGTTGATAGATATCTGCAGAACAGGGCAACTCCTCCTCTAGGAAGCACTGATGTCCTCTCCCAGTCTCAGTCTGTGCACCCCTGACACCCCATGCTCCCCTCCCTCACAGCCCTGATTCCACTCCTGTGAGCAGTGGACCATTTTTGTTTTTTGTACTATAGTTAATTTTTTTTTAGAGTGTGTTATTTATTTATTTACGTAAATTCAAGTTAGTTAACGTACAGTGCAGTATTGGTTTCAGGAATAGAACCCAGTAATTTATTACTTACATACAACACCCAGTGCGGATCCCAAGTGCACTCACTCCTTAATGCTCATCACCCATGTAGCCCAGCTCCGCCCCCCCCCCCCCCCCCCCCCCCCCCCCCCCCCCCCCCGCAACCTCCGGTTTGTTTTCCGTATTTATAATTTTTTAGTGTTTATTTTTGAGAGAGAGACAGACAGACAGAGCGTGAGTGGGGGAGGGGCAGAGAGCGAGGGAGACACAGAATCTGAAGCAGGCTTCAGGCTCTGAGCTGTCAGCACAGAGCCCAATGCGGGGCTCGAACCCACAAACTGTGAGATCATGACCTGAGCCGAAGTGCGAGGCTCAACCGACGAGCCACCTAGGCGGCCCGGTCTTCTGTATTTAAGAGTCTCTCACGGTTTGCTAATGTGACCGTTTTAATGCCAGAGTCCATCGGGCCATGAACTCTGCAAGGTCAGGCAGGGATTGCCATATTCGTCATTTCCTGTGCCCAGCTGAGGCGTGCCACAAAATAGTAACTCGCTGGCATGTGTCAAATGAATACACTGGAAGGTGGTGCAGAAAATCCGGTTCAGAGAAACGAGACCCGCCTTCCGGTCTCTGACTAGCCACTCACTGCAGGCAAGCTCCGTCCCTGCTGCAGGACTCAGTTTGCCTGTCCTGCAAGTGAGAGGGTAGGTGTCTGCGAAGGTCTTCCCCCTCTTCGGCAGTTAACACGACGAGCCGGTGCCCTTTGCGGCCGTGCTTGGATCAGCAGTTTCGCTGCAAGGGCTCATCCCTGGTCTCCGCCGCCCGCCCCTCGCTGCCCCCCCCCC